GCCTTCTAGAACCAAGCAGAACCTCAATACCCCTCATCCCCAGTCCCTCCTGTTTCCACCAGGCATGAAGTCCTTCTGGGCCCAGCTCTAAAGGGAAGGGCACGGAATGGGCCCAGTGAAGGCTTTCCTGAGCAGAGAGCCAGCACGCCCTGCCTTTCTGATCCGGACTGCAGCAGAGAACCCACTACTCACTGACATGCCAATCGGGCTTCTGAGCAGTCCAGTGGATCTCCCTAACTCCACAGGTTGCAGGTTTTGCAGTCACCTCTGCTCTGCATGTCAGAAAAATGCCCAGGAGTTCCATCACCAGGGGAAGGGGGGAGGGAGAGGGGGATTACACATTTTAGACCTGCCTGGAGTACAGGAAGGGCCCCCCGGCCTGGGGGAATTGGCCACAGAGCAGCAGGAGCAAGACTGACCCAGGAAGAGGCCACCTGCTACAGAAGGCCTTCCTTCAGTCCCCCCCCCCCCAAAGTCCACTGGTTCCCCTTTCTGAGAAGAAATGTCTCTGACCCTGGAAATGCAACTGAGCTGCACAAGAGAATCAGCACACTTACTTGGTGAAGTGCCTCAGCTTGGTCTCGATGCTGCGGTGGCGCATGCACATCCGGGTCAGTGCCGACCCGATATCCCTTGTGGCTCCTGGAGAGAAAAGGGATTCCCTTGTGATTAACTGGCAAAGGCCAGGATCAAAAAATGGTTTGTGTGTGTGTGTGTGTGCATCTTTCCCCACTGGGGAAAAAACCTGAAGAGACCGAGATGGACTTGCAAAGCCATCATTGACTAGGTCCGCCCACCCTGGGCATCCTGGAGGGCATGGTCCAAAGGCCTCCGTGAGAGGCAGGCTAGAGAACTCGGCAGCATCTCCCAGAGCCAAGACCAACCATCGGTTAAGAGTCACGATGTTCTCTGGCAGCGGCATAACGGAACAGCCGCCATTTTACTTTCAAGGATTTTCTGTTCTCTGATCAATTCCACAACCCAAACCTACCCAGCCCTATCTGGTTAATGCTATAACCCCGCCCTGTCCCCCCCCCACACACACAGGGAAAACAGCCAGCTGGAAGTCCTCTCCTTGCGGCAGTAGCAGCAGAGTCCTGCCACAAGGAGGCACAGGGGCCAGAAAGAATGAGATGGGAGGAAGCCCCACTTCCCTGCGGCCGGATGCTGGCTCAGGCGTTCCTGCAGGAGACCTCCCGCCCGGCTGTCGCAAAGCCCAGCAGAGTCTGGCTCTGCAAAACCTCCAGCTCCATCGTTGCTCTGGTCTCATGCTCACATTCTAATTCGCTTTACCTCATTGAGGCAATCTCCCAATGGACGAATCAGCCAGCAGAGCTTGACGCCCTCAGTGGAGGCTGGGCTGTGTAGAGGCCTCCTCTAGTTAGGGGACTGGACTAGACCATCTGCGAAGCCCTTCTAGCCCCCACGTGCCCAGATGTTATGAATTCCTCCATATGAAACTTCACCCACTTAGAATGTCCTCGCCTGCCCAGACCCCTGGGAGCTCCTCATATACAAGAGGGGGGCTTGGGGGTCAAACTGAGGGAGAAACAGAGTTGGCCAAAAGGGGTTGGAGAGCCTCTGCTCTGTGGGCATCTATCTCCAGGCTGACTGGAGGATTTCAGAGGTTACCCTCCTCCCCCCAGTAACAGGATAACAGATCCAAGGGGCATCTTGGGAGGGGCTTCTCTGGGCCTTTTCTCCCACCCCCTGCACAAAGACTTCCCACAACCGCCCACCTTCCTTCAAGTGACCTAACATGGCCATCACCCTGAGACCTGCTCCCTCCATGCTTTCTAGACTATCTGAAGGGTCTCCTGCAGGAGTTCAAGATGAAAGTAGCACGATTGCCCACCTACCCTGAATGGAAGTTTTGCTACCTCTCTAGCTTTGGTGAAGTCAAAATCCCCCTCCCCAGAAGTGCAGCCAGCTCTTCTTGGGGGTTGCTTTTCCTCCCCACCTCTCTTGCCCTCTCCTCCAAAGGGCTGCAACCCTCCCAGCCCCTCTCCTAGATACCCTGGCAGGGAAGCCCACCAAAACTGGACACAGTTATTAAACAGGCATTCACTCACCACTAGTTTGGCTATAACTATGATTTTAAAAACTGGGGAGCAGGGGTATTAAAGGCAACATAGGCAGGGATATAAGAGAAATTAACCTCACCCCTCCCCCTTTAAGGATCTTCCTCTTGATGACACCATGGCTTTTTAAAGGACCCCTGCCCTCAATCTCCTTTCTGGCTGAGGCCAGATGAATGCATAGAAACACACACATACAGTGCCTGTTCAGAGCATCCTGTTTTACACACACAATATGTTCATTGGTGCAAGATATCTGTGCTTGGGGAGGGAAGGGACCAATCCCGCAGCAGAAATCCACTCTCTGCAGCATCAGCAGAGTCCTGACCAGGAACCTAGAGACATCGATGCTCCTCGGAGAGAGTTATTGCATCCAATTCCTCATCCCTAGCCAATCCGCAATTCAGACTGAAATTCACCAGAAATCAACCCTTTCTGAGCATGCCACTTCTCTCCATTCTGAGGCTTTAAACAGGAAAAAAATGCTCTGAAAATTTCATTTTTCAGGCTGAAACCTCTCCAGGAACCAAAGCACCAGACCAAAAATAAGAATAGAAATATGCGCACTTCTCACACTGGGAATCCAATCCACACAATGGAAGGACCAACCGTGGATCATGCCAGTCTGAGAGTGAGGGGGGCCTTGGGGGCCTCAGGTAAGAGCCCCAGTTAAAGCCCTGTAGGGAGGCAGCTGCTCGCTCCATCCTTGGAAGACGACCAAGTCCACGGATAGTGCCGGAAGGAGAGTGATTCCCAGAACTGGGCCCAGCTGGGGTTGGATTAACAAAACTCCCCCTCCAAGCCCATTTTGCCTCCCCAAAGCTCCATACATCGCCTTACCTCTGGTGTTGGTGGCCATGTCTGCCACTCTCTGGAAGGCCTCCAGGAAAGCCACTGCAGCCAATATGGTGGTCCTAGGAAGAAAGAGGGGCTCAGGTTGAGAGGGGAGCCTTTGCAGGACAAGACATGGGGGAGCTGCAGGGAATGAGGAAGGCAACCTTGGCAGAGATGGACGGCGGCTCTTTCCTGGGCAAACGGGGCTGAAGCTTTCTGAAGCAGGGAAATAACCTTCAGAAGGGGCTCAGCCAGACCCTTCCCTAATAGTCTGGGGCAGAAGAAGGAAAAGGAGGCACCACAAAATAAGACTTGTGAAATTATTTTATTATAGCCAATCTCAATTTTATTGAATTTGAGATTTAGACTACCTGCCAAGTTGATTTCCTGGTTGGGCTCATTCCTCTCACCAACCCAAACACCCACTGACCTGCCTTCAGCCAGACTCTCCCTAGTAAAAAAATAAAATATGCTTGCTGGCTAGGAAAGACACTCTACATCAAAAGTGTGCAGAACTTCAGCATGGCACAAACTAGGACAATATACAATCAGGTCAAGTGAAACAAGAAGACATGGCTTATCGCAAAAGGGCTTTCCCCACAGTGAAGCTCTTCTTCTCAGGGCTCCTCTCCTTTCTCTACGGTGCCAGGGGACCCTGGGGGCAAACCTAGGCGACTCTGGCTATTGAGACTTTCCAGGCCAAAGCATCAACTTGCGCTGAGCTGCAGCTGAGATGGGTATCACCAACACACTAATAACACCTTAGCCAATCAAGCCCAGTGTTTTTAGATGGGTGTATGAAAATATGGAATTATGAAACACCACCTAAATTCTTAACTTCTTGCACTTCCATCCCTGTCTTCAATACGTGTATCTGAAAGAGATAATTCACCAGAACCTCTTCTGCAGACATAGTCCCGGCAGGCAACACCCCTTACCAGCAGAGGTTTCTATTTAGCATGCATTGTTTCTATTGTTTTCTTCACTGTGAAGTTGCTCTAGTGCAGGGACACACGGGAGGAGGCAGCACTTGGAGCAACCAATGATATCATCCCAAAGGATGTAGCGGCTTTAATGCTTTGATGAGAGGTGCTCCCCCCCCCCCCCCCCCCCGCACTAAGTATCTTTTTTGAAAGCTATGCACAGACTTAGCAGAAAAACACCTGTTTCTTCTTGTTACTTTCTTAGGATGTCAAAGTAGCCAAATGCACATTGTTGGCTTTGAGGGGAAGTTTGTTACAAGCTTAACATTCTCTGCCAAACTACAGTCCAAACTCCAGTTAGTTCTTTGTTCACTTTTCTGTTTCCTGGAAACTAGCTACTTTATATTCTTCCCTACAACAGCCTCTGCTTGCTCTGCGAAAAGCACTCACAGAACAACTCTGAGGACGCATCGCTTGTATTCAAGACGTCACCCTCAAAATGTACAGATTTTCTGATAAATTTCTTCTCTTCCTTACCTCTTCTTCTTGACAGCCAAACCCATCAGCAGATGCAGCATGGAAGGCAACCTTGTGGCATTCCATAATTCAATAACCTTGGACTAAAATGATAATCTGCCAAAGCCACCCACTACTAACAACTCAAGAGATAAAATCTGAACCTCCTCAGAAAATGAAAGAAGTGTAAACAGAAGTAAAATGTTTCGTATGTTTTAGTCTCCAGGCCTTTGATCATCTTAGTTGCTCTTCTCTGAATTTTTTCCAAACTCTTTTTTGTGATATAGTGACCAAATTGGCTGCAGTATTCCAGGTGTGGCCTTACTAGGGTTTTATAAAGCGGTAATAATACTTCGTGTGATCTTGTTTCTATGCCTTCGTTTATACAATCCAGGAAGGGTTACCCTTCCCTGGTCCTCCCTCCTTTGAGGCAGCCCGGCTGCACCGGCCCCATTGAGGCAATGGCCTCGTCTCTGGCTCAGCCAGCTATCGTGCACCTGTGCATCTGACTTTTCCCACCTGTGGTGACCCTTCAATTCTCACTATTAAACAATGTATTCTTAGCTAAGACCCAGTATTCAAGGCTATCGAGACCCTTCTGAGCCTTGAGCTGCTTCCTGATGGATTAGCAAGCTCTCTCTCCCTACCACCACCACCACCCTCTGTGCCATCTGCACATTTTCTGAGCATGCCTTGTGTTTCTTCATCTGGGTCAAAGATGCCTGTTGGGGATTCCTATGCAAGGAGAGAGATTTAGGGTTAGAAAGAGGGGGATGGAGGAAGCCCCCAAACTGCAGGGAGGCCCATTTTGAGGGGGCTACTCAGCCTGCACCCCTGTCCCAGTGTTAGCAAAGACACAGAGGGTGCTGCAGAAGTCATTACATTTAATTAAAACATTTAATCTCCCCTTTCACTTAAAGAGCAGCGTAATGCCTGGGGCTACCCCAGAAGCCGCATGCCTGACTTCTCCCTCCCTGGCCATGTTGGGAGAGTCCCCAGAATTCCTTGGTCATTTTTAAATAACATTTATTGAATTTATGTTTAGAAAGGAAAGCTACTGTGGGAGGATTGTTATCCAGATAGGCAGGATATAAACAAGTCCAGCCAATAAAACCATCAAGAAAATGGATCTAACCCCCACCTCCACTTGGCCCAGTCTGGGATGAGGAGGAGGATGCAAGGCCATCAACAGAGACAATCCAGGACTTGCATGGGGATTTAGCATTGATAAAAGATGTTCAAAATTTAAAATTGTAAGAGGAATTAGCTGTAAGAGGAAGTAGCTGCAAGAGGAAGTAGCTGAATGACAAAACCGAATTGAAAAACAGGAAAACTAAAACTGGACTGAATAGCAGGAAAACTAGCTGAATGGAAAAACAGGAAAGAACCTATTGTTCTATCAAGCCATAAAACATCCCAGAACTCAAAAACAAACAGAACATGCTCAATATTCTATTGAATATTATTTGACACATCTTGCGTATATTATCTCTTAACTTAAATGCACACAGATGTATGATTTAGTATCTAGCAGGAAATATGTAGAAGGCAGTCGGAGAGAATGTAACCTCATACTACCTCAGCCAATGGGGAACAAGGAGGGATGGGCAGACGGTGCCAGGAATGTATAAAGATGTTGATTTGAGATGATGAACTTTGGAGAGAACCAAGCTTTGATAGCTTCTCTCCCTGCTTATTGCAATAACCAAAACAAGGAGGTCTTGGCTGGCTACAGGTCGGGCGAACTTGCCACTGGTTGCAAAGGAGCACATAACCACCTCACATCCAGTATAGAAAGACTGTGAGAGTCTGCTTGAGACATTTCTAGGTGCTGCCATTGGAATTGCAACTGCAAATCTCCAGCAAAGAAAAGAACACATTCCATCCTGAAAAATCTACACCTAACACACACCGCCCCCAGTTCTCCAGAAGCATCAACAAGGGTGTGTGTGTCAGAGTGACTTGCTAATCTTGATCTACTTGGACTTTTTGACAAGCCCCACACCAAAACCTCTGTGCACGTTTAACAGACACATTGACTGGGACTGAGATGCTCAGCTGGCTGGGGGCCATTGGCAGAAATACAGAATCCAAAGGTCCTGCATATCATGGACTGTTTGGAAAAACAGTCTCCCACAGCCCAGCTCCTGAACAGCCTTCTAAATCAGGGCTTTTCAACCAGTGGTACGGGTACCACCTGTGGTACATTGGCACCTGGCAGGTGGTATCCGACTATCCTAGAAAAGTGGTAGCGGGGGAGGGGAATGAGCTGAACCAGTGGCAGCACCGCACAAGCCTGAGCGAGAGATGGCTGGAGCTGCAGGGCTGTCAGGGCTCAGTGGAAGTGCCAGGATCAGTGCCAGGCTCCAGCCGGAGCTCAGCGCTGATCCTGGCGCTTGTGCTGAGCCCAGAAGTGCCAATCAGCTGGAATGTTGCAGCATCTCCAGGGTCTTGTGATTTACATTCAGATGCTTGGCAACTGATTCATATTTATGACGGTCACAGTGTCCCAGGGTCATGTGAAGTGACCAAAACCTGCTGCAACCACCCAGCAGATCGGGGGAATAAAAACCAAACACCCCACCTCCGCTGCCAATCCCCAACAGAAATGCTCACAACAATGAAAACCTCGGACAGGAGGAAGAGCGCTGCCGGGCGGGCAGGCAGGTGTCTTGCTCGACTTGGGGGCACTTTTTTCAGTGCCATTGTAACTTTGAACAGTCACTAAGCAAACTGTTGTAAGTCGAGGACTACCTGTACTTTATCACTTTTTTCCTTTTTTTTTTTTTTTTAGGTCATCAAGTTTTTGACACCTTGCTAGGCGACTGGTGGTACTCGGATATTGCCATATCCTAAAAGTGGCACAATGGATGAAAAGGTTGAAAAGCCCTGTTCTAAATAACCAGCCCACTATACAACAGCAACAAGCACCAAAATAAAGCACAAGAGGCACAAAGACCACAATGGCTTCTTCAAAAAAGGAGCAATTCACTTCCCTGGGATGGGAATGGCAGCTGCTCTGTAGGAGAACTCACCGCAGCTGGGAGTGGAGCTTTGTGGCTTTCGAGTTGAAATCTTCCCAGACTGGGTAGGAGCTCTGGAAGATAAGAAGAAAAAGAGGTTGAGCAGCACTTCTCCCTTTCTTGGGTAACACCAGAGACTCATAAGGCGCGTGGGGGGGGGAGGCTGCTCCTTTCCCTGGGGTGGCAGAAGGGCCCCACTGGAGCCAACTCCTTCCCCCAAATCAGAAGCCCCCCCCGAGGCCCTGCCCTGCCCCAGCCCTGCTCAGAGCAAAACGGTCGTGCCACTTTGGTACCTCTGGCCATGCCAGGTGTGGTCCAATCAGTTTGTAAGGTAAAGCATGGAATCTCCTCAACCCTCACCAGACACCCAGTGGCCCCTTTGGGACAGAAGTGATGCACACTTTCAACGTGATCTCTCAACAGTCTCGTTTTTCGAAGGTGTCTCTACCGCCAGCTTTCTGTTAAACCCACAGCGCCCCAACACGGCGCTTGAAGGTTTGAGATCCACTGGCTTCCGTGTCTACTTATTAACTATTATTATAAGCTGATATTTACTGTCTTTAAGTTAAGCCCCTGAATAAACAAAAAGCCAGCATGCAGTGAAGGACAGCTATTGGGAGCCTGCCTGAAAAGCCCACCGGCCAAGCAAAAGTTCCAGTGGAACTGCCTGACTGGAGCAGAAGCAGCACCTGAACCCAGAGCAGGGGGCATCACCGGCCCAGGGCCCCAAACCCTTGCCTGCTCTTATCAGTCCATCCCTTGCCATTAGCCCTTCATCTAAGTAATGCAGACCAATTTTTTCCAAATTCTCAACATCTTTTTTGTGATATGGTGACCAAAATTGGCTGCAGTATTCCAGGTGTGGTCTTACTAGGGTTTTATAAAGCGGTACTAATACCTTGCGTGATCTTGATTCTATGCCCCTGTTTATACAACCCAGGATTGCCTTAGCTTTTCTGGCTGCTGCTACACACTGCTGGCTTGTGGTTAAGTGATCGTCCACTAGGAGTCCAAGGTCCCCCTCACAGTTACATGCTGTGGAACAACTCATACAACCTTCCATTAACTTTTAAGAAGAGGAAGAATGTTTAAGTTTAAAAGAGAAGACACAACTAAGTGGAAGTTGGGGGTGAATGTTGTGCAAAGCTTGGGACGAGGTGGATATTTTATTGATACAAGAGATATGGGGAACGGAGACACACAACCCTGGATGGCACCAGCAGTTTAAAAGGAGGAAATCCGGGGGCGGGAGGGAAGGTGTCTAAGCTGCCATGAAGGAGAAACCATCTTGCAAGCTGCTCAGGAAAAGTCAGAGATGTGAGATGGACAAATGCAGGAAGAGCAGTTTGTTGAGCAGCCTGCAGAGCGACAGCAAACAAGGCAGCTGCATGCAGACCCAACCCTGGGAGTCCTGAGCATCATTTCAGAGAATGGAAAGCTGTGGAGGGCCTGGGGGAGTGGGTGGTTCTGGCTGCAGTGGCAAGGACAGACAAATGGATTGCTGGGAAAAGTCTTGCAAGAAGAACCTCCTGCAGCCCGACTGCTGCCCAGGAACATGGACATTGGGCAGAAGCAGGAAAAGCAAGCTGGAAACCTGGGGCGGTAACAGGAGGGCAGTTCTGAGGGGCCGCCTCTGCTGAAGTTCATCCAACATGGAGAGGGTTGGGGAACTGTACCTCGGGAGCATTTCAGACAAGTGATTGTCCAGTCTTTTCTTAAAAACCTCCAGTGATGAAGCACCCACAACTTACAGCAACCCATCTAAGTTGCTGCCCCTTTCGTGGAACAGCCTCCTGCCAACCCCTATCATTTCTCTCCTCTTCGGTTTCAGGAAGGCTGGAACTGCTGCTTCCAGGGCATTGCCATTGCTTAGTTACGCAAGAGAGTTGGCTGGGATGGGAGTCCAATAGGAATGGCATGCCCTGGGAGGAACCAGCGGGCCCTTGAAAGGGATGCATTCAGGCGAGAATGTAAAAACAAACCAGGAGTGTCAAGCAAGGCTTTTCTTAACTGAAAGGAGCAGAGACTGGGGGATGGTGCCTGTTGTAATGGACAGTGTTTCTACTCCAAGTGTAATTCAAAAAGCCACTGACATGCTTGCAAGAATGCTGGGTCCACCCCCAGCAGCCCCCAAGGAAAGGAATGAAAGCCACCCCTGGCACTTCTGCTGAATCAAAGGAGAGACGAAGCCAGAGAAGAACAACTAAGAGCTGCAGCCACTTTGAAGCCCCCTGATTGGCACAGCGAGCGATGGGAGAGGCCTTAAGGGAAGTGAGAAGTGGAGAGAAACAACCCCAAAGGGAGGGAAAAGACATAGAAGGGGCTCTTGGACACTGAGCTATGCAAGACTGAGGCCCAAAGCCAAAACTGCAGCCATGGAGGGGTTGCCAAATATACTCATCTTCTAGTCATAACAAAGGTATTTTCAGGAACTGTGGCGTGTTCCCCACGTGAACCTGTGGGGCTGAGGTCAGTGGGAAGAAGCTGTATAAAGGCAGGCATCCATCCCTGGCATCACACAAGGCCAGAGGAAGAGAACGGTTCCTTCATTTCAGGGACAGGACTAGTTGTAACAGTCCGGTTGCAGGGGCAGCTGGCAGCCTGACAGGCGAGAAGGCTCCATCCGACCTCAGCAGAGAAGACGAGCCACCCTCCTCTTGAGGGCAAAGCGCCAGCGATGCAGCACTCACAACTTCTGAAGGCAAGCCGTTCCTCTGATTAATTGTTCTCACTGTTAGGAAATTTCTCCTTTCTAAGTTGGATCTTCCTCTGATGAGCTTGAGATTCCAAATTTTGGAAGCATAGTCTTCTAATTCTTGGCCAAGGTATTTTGAACATGTGAACAATTAGTGTGCCTCAGATAGGAGAGCCCATCAGTGAACATCTAGCTCCCTATGGATTCTTTGTCCTTTTAAAAGTCAGAGACAACATCTGCTCTCCAACAATCTCTAGAATCTGTCATGGTTCCTTCAGCCCACTGTAAAACAGTTCCTCTTGTCCTGGAGAAGTGATTCAATGTAAATAAACCTCCTTTAGCCACATTTCTTGGAAGCTGAAATGCTGCTGGTCACCTGGAAGAGCTCCGATCCCTTCTCTCCCTCAGAACAGTTGCTTCTCTGACATGGCCATTTCTGCAGTTCCAGGCCCTTCCTTTCCTTGGTGACTGGGCTTCTTTCAACCTTTTGAATGTTGATGCTCAGCTTTATGTGCAGCCTCCATGACTTTTTGCATTATGCATTATTTCCCAACTGCATCAGTCTCCTTTTTCCATTAGCTTCTCCTGCCATGGGAATCCTTGTTTATTTAACTATAATTCACATCTTTGCAGTCCGAGGTGAAATTAATCATTTTTAATTTTAAGTATTAAATGTTTTTAGTTTCCCTTAAAATCAAGAACTCCAATGATATATAAAGTTTACTTAACGTTCCTGCTATTTTTTGCAACTCTGAGTAATTTTATCCTCAAATGGAAAAACTAAGATGAACAAAGGTTCTATAAATATTGGATATTCTTTTCCATACCACATCCAGATTCATGCTTAGTTATATATCCTACCTTTTCTTGAAGATTTCAGCAAGATTACCTAACCTTGATCACAATTCCCAACGCCTTCCAGCAGGGATTCCTCTGTAATCTGAAGCCAGTCTACTTCCGGGCAGCTGCTAAAAAAGGGTCAAGCCAGCTGTCATTCGGATATCTTCCATCACAATATCTCCTTTCCCCTCCGGACTGCTCAAGAATTTCGCTTTTTCCCAAGCTGAGAAGACCCCCGCCCTCTTTCCTTTGCCACATCTGTGGAGAGCACTGAAGCCTCCCTATCAACCTGTAACATCAACTGGAGCTTTACAGATGCCTTTGAATGTTTGGTTTCGGCTACACCACATTAATTACTTAAAAATCTGAGCCAAGATAAAATTTTGCAGTACCTGCAAAATTGGAAAAAATAGATGTGAAAAGGATTAAGACATCTTAAAAGAATCAGATGCTAAACATGAGCTAAAAAGCCAAGTTTCTATCCTGAATTGGTAGAACAATTATGAAACAAAATGCTGCTTTCAGATCTGGGCATCATATTTTAAGAATTTTGAGAAAGAGTCAGGGGACTTAAAAGTTGAAAGAGATGGGAATATGTGGCTGAAATAGAGATTAAGAGAAGTCTTCAAAAAAGCAGAAAGGCTGTCATGTCAAAGATGAAGAAGGGGTGGAGACTGCAAAGAAACAGATGTTGGCTAAACGGCAGGAAAAAAATCTCTAGAAAGGTGAAAATTCCTCTTCACTGCAGGACTTGGGCAGAGGCAAGACAACTGCGTGCAGGGACACTGGAGCAACAACCAGGACTGTGAGACAAGCAAACGGAGGGCAATGAACTCTTCTGCCAGGTTCTCAGATGGGATGGTTTGCAACTTAGCCACCTGCAGCCATATTGGAAGACCTCACTTTTTGAGAAAGGCACTCGTCTGGAGACCAGGCGAAGCTCATGAGGAGATGCAGAGAAACCCTTTGACCAGTGAATTGGAGCAGTCTTGGAGACCGAAACTACACTTGTAAACATGCAGCCTGGACCAAAATTGGCCCAGAGTAGCCAGTCTGGAGGGGCTGAGATCAGCCCCCCTAATTACAGCCCATGTTGGACAGCAAAGAACCTGGGGCCCTTTTTTGGCCTGATCTGGGTAGAGTTCTGACTGATCCAGGGCAGGAGGTGCACTGCACCCAGCAGTTCCTCCCACCTTCAGGACAGCCTAGGCCAGAATTTTTCATTTGTTCATTTTTCAAATGTCTGAACCACACGTTTCCCTCAGAGTTATCCCAGGATGGCCCTGGGCATCCAGCAGAGAACAGCTGGCCAACCCGGGACAGGCAGCTTGCCTTGTTCTCCCCCCCCCCCCGTGGTAATAGGAGAACTCAGTCCTTCCGAAGGACCAGCCACCCCTGCTTTGCCTGGTGGAGGGCCTCATGCGCCTCAGTTCCCTGCAGGGAGGAAGACTGCCTCTAGGAAGAGACGCCCACCACCAACGGCTCCTTCCCAAAGTTTTGTAATTCTCTTTTTACCCTTCCCCAGGACTTTCTGAGGTAGAACACCACTGCTGCTCCTGTGGTTTCCTTCTGGAGGGGGGACCAGGACTCGTACACTATGCTGGCTGGAGAGTGGCAAGAACTTTGCCAACTGGCAAATATTTGGGCAAAAGGCCCGGCGTCTCCGGGGCGGCAGAAGGCAAGGGAAGCCCCCCCCCCAAAGCAGCAGTGCAGGGGGTCCGGCTCCTCTAAGCCGCCCACGCCCCCCGGGGCCTTCAGGCTCTCGGCTGCACCTGTGCAGGACGGGGGGGGGGCGGGAAGAGGGCCCTGGCGAGGCGCGCCCCCCGGCCGGGGCGGCGGGAGAAGGCCATTGCCGCTGGGGAGGCGTCCCGAGGCTGGGCGCAGCATCTCCCGGCTCCTTCGCTGCAACCTTCGACAGGCCGCCGAGTCTCCCCGGCCCGAGAAGGGCGCTGCCCACAGAGCGCCGGGCTCTCCGCGAAGGCTGCCCCGCCCCAACAACGGGAGACGCAAGCGGCGGAGAGGCGAGGCGGGGGCGCCCCTCCCGGATCGCCTTCTGCACGTCCTCAGAGGCGCCCTCGCTGGCCCCCCCGCGTCGCTCACCTTCATGTCGTTGACGATGGCCTGGAAGAGGCCGCCCAGCGCCCCGCACTCCTTCTCCGCCGCCTCCATGCTCGCCGCGCCGCGTCCGCTCCGTTCCGCTGCCTGCGACGCGCCGGGCGAGGCTCTGCGGCGGCGGCGCGCCCGCTCGGTCACTTCCCGGCCCGGGCGGCGGGCGGCGGGGCAGGCGAGGGCGAGGCGCGGGGGATGCGGCGGCGGGCCATGGGCTGCAGGGGGCGGGAGCGGGCACGGCCGGGGGCGCCGCTGGGCCGGCAGGGGACGGGCGCGCGCCTCGGATGCCGGCGCGGGAAGGGGGCGCGCTCCGGTCACGTGGGCGGGGCGGTGCGCTCTCTGATCCGTCGCGTCTCAGCCGGAGCTCTGGCCCCAGGCGCGGCGCGCACGGTCCGGGCTGCCAGGCGGCGGGGACGACCCCAGGGAGGTGCCGGCGGAGGCAGAGGAGTCCGGGCGTGAGCGCGGCTCAGAAGCCCCGGTTGATCTGCCGGGCGGTGGGCGCCCATCGCTCTCGCAGAGGGTCGCTGCTGGCGGGCAAAGGGGACTCCTCTCTCTGGGATGGCGGGGCGTCCCAGAGCATCGCAGCCCGTTCGCACCAGGGCAGGATCAGTCGCCGCTTTGCGCCTCCTTCCAGCCGGCCTCTTACAACTGAAGCCTCCTCCTGCCGGGCTTCCTCGGCCAGAAAAGAGGCCGGCTCGGGCGCCGCCCGCTCCAGACCTCGCCCCCCCCCGATCCCGGACCGTTCATTTTAATTCACCCCCCCATCGGCTGCCCGACGTCCAGCAGACCCGGCCCGGCCAGCGACGCCTCCGTAGGCGAGCCTCCCCCCAGCCAAAGAGTCTCCGGGCGAGGGTAGCGTTTACACGGTCCTTTATTTCAAACGAAGGTAGCAGGATTTTCCCGGGGGCCAGCAAGCCGCCCGCCGCGGCGGGGGGACGACACACACGCGGACCAGCGCGCACGGCCAGGCCGGAGCGGGCCCAGCAACAGCGGCGCCCCCTCCCCCGAGTTCGGCACTCCGATGCGGTCGGCCGAAGGCAGGCGGGCTACGCGGCTCCGGCCCGGCGAGTCCGTGGGGAGCGGAGGGAGACCCGTCCTCGCATGGACCGTCAGAAGGCGGCCGCCCCCCGGCGCTCCGGCGGCTCCCCCGCCCGCGTGGCCCGCTGATGCCGGCCCTGGAGATGCTTGCCCTGGACCCTCTCGAAGTGTTGCAGCAGCTCCGCGTACTCGATGGCGGGGCCGGCGGCCGTCTTCCTGGCGCTCTGGCCGGCCTTGGCCGAGTCCCTGCGGAGAGGGCGGAGGGTCAGCCGGCCCACCGGAGGTCTCGGCACCGGGGCCCCTCGAGGCAATCCTGAGCCCCCCCCGCCTGCTTTTTAAACTGGGCCGGCAGTCTTCCTTGCCAGTCTCCCAGCTGGCTCTGCCGGCAAGCCGGTGGCCGAACCGCCGTCGGGGCTCCCCCCAAGCCCCCAGAGGACTGAAGCCAAGCGGGGGCCGCAGAACAAGAGAAATGGCAGCAGCCTCCCCAAGCGCAGCGCCTTCTGGGGCCCGGGGGTCTCATGGCCAGTTGCACCCGGTCCCTACCTCTGAAGGAGGCTAGAACGGGCAGGGATGGTGGGGTCTCAGTGTCTCCTGGCTCCCTTCCTCATTATGGAGCCCATAGGGTAGGATGTGCATCCAGATGCCCCACAGCCCCACTGCAAGAGGGTGCGTTTCTCCCCCTGCTGTCCCCCAGTCCCAAACGTCCTTTGGGACCTTAATTCAGAATGCCAGTGAGGATGATTATCCGAGACAAGGGGTTCCCATGTCCCCCCCCCAGTCTCAGTTTGGGGGTGGGACTATATCCTTTGGTTTCCCACAAGGCTCAAGCAAATTCTCTGCTGGCCTTCAACACACCAGCCCTGCCTGCCAGCCCTAAGGAAATGGGGGTGGCAGGTACCCCCACAATGTGATTTTAGAAAAGAGGCTGGGCTGGGCTGGCCATGGCCCATTTGTCCATTCCACAAAGAAAAGTGGGAGACGCTGTTTGCTACCCCCCCCTCCCAACTGGGAAGCCCCTCCCCTCTTCTGTGAGCAGAAGGCTCCACCCCACCCCCAAAAGGTGGCTCCTCTGCTTCTGGCCCATTAGGGACAGGGTGGCTGCAATGTGCCCTGTGAGAGCTGTATTAGATGACCCTCTGTCCCTCACACAGAATGATGTTTCTATTAGGACACATGAACATTCTGGAAGGCCCCCAAATCCTCTCCAACTCCCCAGGACTGACATGCCTCCTACCCCCACATGCAAGGAATACCCTGCCCTGAAAGGAAAGGAACAGCAGGTAGAGAGTGGGAGTCTCAGGTTTCCAGGCACCTCAAGGTCCAGGCAGTGGGGAAGAGTACAGCCCCCAAGAAGACAGGCTTTCAAGGGGTGGTGCTGCTGCTGGGGGGAAGGAGGGTGCTCAACCCAGTCAAAGCCTTTGACTATAAAAGGGTGGGGGAAAGGCCTGCCCAAGATGTCCGGGAGGAGCCCCATCTCTCCTGCTCAGGAAGAAAAGGACCCACCTCCCTCCCGCAAAAGCCAGTTCCCAACACTGCCTTCTGGGAGGGGGGGAGGTGTGTGTATGTCCAAGGCCGGCCTGGCTTCTTCCTTGCCTCCCTGGGAAGGGCCAGGAGCTGAGGAGGGAGGCAGGAGCAGCTGCAGGAGGCTGGGCGAGGGATTTCCCATGGGCCCCTTTGCCACCTGGGGGGGGGGGAGAGAGAAATGCCTGGGCAGTTGTTGCTCTGGGGCCGGTTTCCATGGCAACACTGCAAGGGGAATATTCCATCCTGGATGCCAAAGGCGAGGTTGCCAAACATAGACAAAGCTGGGACCAGCTACGTGAGGGCTGAGATGCTGTCACCCAGGGACCCTCCTCTCCTCCTCCTCCTCCTCCTCCTCCTCGCTTCTGCCCCCAGGGGAAAAGTCTCAACTGCCTGCCAGCCCCACACTGGGAGTCCAAAAAGCAGTGAGGTGCTCCAAGAAAGGCCCAATGGGGGCCAGGCATTTGAAACATACCTGAGGGCCCTTCAGTTGGGGCCCTTCAAGGCAGTGGATGCCAGTTCTGAGGGTCCTTGATGGGCCAAGCGCAGCCATGAATGCCCTCTGCTAAGGCTACAAGGTCACAGGCCAGGTGAGCCCTTTCAAGGTGCTGAGGCAGAGAGCAAAGGCACTTTACCTGCCGTGCAGCCTCTTGCGCTGAATAAAAACCATGATTACTTTGAACATGGCTCTCTTGGTGCAGAAGGCACCCCAAATGGTAAAGATGCTGCACCCCAAATGGTAAAGATGTTGGCTTGAAACAACAGGCCACTTCCTTCCTAGAGAGGGCTCCCCATTCAGCCCCTGCTGCCCCTTTGGAAAGGGGGGAGGGGAAGGTTGTAAAGCAAGTGCTTTTCTTTAGGCCATCCCAGATTTGGCTCAGGCGCAACTTACGCTGTTTGCATGAGTTCTGGGTTCGGGACGCACTGCAGCCGGTGGGAGAGGAGCTGGAAAGCATTGCTCTGGGGCAGGAGCATCAGCAGCCCGTAGAGAGCCTTGAGGAGGTACGGATTGCTTTTCACATCCAGCAGCTGCAGACGGAGATCTGGAAGAAAGGCAGGACAGGCGTGACCTCTGTGGTCATAAGGTTGGAGCTGCTTCTGTGTTGGCAGAAACAGAAGTGGGGCCCTGAAATCTGAGACTGAGTGAAAAGGGGTGATCTGGTAGGTGGGTTACTAAAAAGCTTACTGTGTGAAACAAGACAGAGCACAGGACCTTGCAGGTTCCAAAGCACAGGAGGGCAACGGCCTGCCATGGGTTGAAGCCCAGGAAGCAGAACAGAGAGATCCAGGGAAGAAGAGCATTTGGATAAGAAAGCAGCAAGAGGAAAATACTTGGGGGTGCAGACCCAGGACGGAACCTCTAGGGAGTTCCCTCCTAAACCAGAGTGCAGGAGTCCTTAATTTAGGACCACTCGTTTAATGACAAACCGGAATTACAACAGCCACAGAATGGGTGCCTTATGGCCCGTAAAGCATTTTCAGCCAACACAAAATGTTGCACAACTACCACAGCCCTGCAGTTAAATGATATGCTCTGCATGCTTCGCAACCTGTTTGCACTTAAATCCATTTTCCCCGGACTGAGCTGACAGTTTGGGGGTCCTCCTGGACTCACAGCTTCTGCTTGAAGAGCAGGTGGCAGCTATAGTTACCTTTGTGCAGATTCATCTGGTGTGCTAATTAAATCTTCCAGGACCAGGAGTTGCTTCCAGTTTGGATTACTGCAATGTACTCTTAACCTGGGGCTGCCCTTGAAAACCACTCACAAACTATAATTTGTTCAGAATGTGGCAGCATGCTTAGTTTAGGATGCCCCAGATGCCCCCCTATCTCGCACCCTTTGCATGAACTGCACTGGTTCCTAGTTTTCTTCGGATGGCATCCAAGGGGCTGCTTATTCTCTTTAAAGCTTTGCATGACACGGGACCAGCTTATCTGTGGGGCTGCCTCTCTCTATGGACATCGGCCTGTCCCTCCCGGTCAAATAGGCTCTTAGTACCCTCACTTAAAAGCTGCCATGTTCTGATGCCCAGGAAGCCCCATGGAAGACTTTTCCCTCCCGGCAAGTGCGGGTTTAGAGTGAGGTCGATGAGGTGAATTGCAAGTGAAAGTTTACTGATGGTGCCTGGCTTGGATTTGGTTTTAATACTTGTGATTTTAACATTTTCTGTTGTACACAGGTATTGTTTAATCTGTTAGTTTCAGATTGCCCAGTGTTGGTTCAAAATAGGTGCCTATATGTTAAAAAATAAATAAATAAAGACACACAAGCTGCCACAATACACAACACATTGCAAAGAAGGATCAGGCAGGAAGGAAACTCACATGTAAAGATCGGGCACTCGATCAACTGGACCAGCTTGTCCACCTCAATCAGGAAATCGACCGTGACCTCAAGGTCTCCACTGGATCAGCAGTCAAGGCTCTAAACGCCAACAGCCCCCCGGGCAGTTTCGAGGGTCACACAGAGAGAGTCCCACTGCAGGGGAGCCCCCAAACCC